TCAAGTGCCCCCCTCAGTGCCCATCAGTCACCCCAACCCCCTGCCCACCTCCCCTTCCACTATCGCATGTTCATTTCCCAGAGTTAGGTGTCTCTCATGTTTTGTCACCCTCACTGATATTTTCACTCCTTTCCCTTTATTCTCTTTCACTAATTTTTATATTCCCCAAATGAATGAGACCATATAATGTTTGTCCTTCTCTGATGGACTTATTTCACTCAGCATAAGACCCTCCAGTTCCATCCACGTCAAAGCAAATAGTGGGTATTTGTCGTTTCTAATGGCTGAGTAATATTCCATTGTATACATAGACCACATCTTTTTTTTAAATAATAAATTTATTTTTTTAATTGGTGTTCAATTTGCCAACATACAGAATAACACCCAGTGCTCATCCCGTCAAGTGCCCCCCTCAGTGCCCGTCACCCATTCACCCCCACCCCCGCCCTCCTCCCCTTCCACCACCCCTAGTTCGTTTCCCAGAGTTAGGAGTCTTCATGTTCTGTCTCCCTTTCTTATATTTCCTACCCGTTTCTTCTCCATTCCCTTCTATTCCCTTTCACTATTATTTATATTCCCCAAATGAATGAGAACATATAATGTTTGTCCCTCTCCAATTGACTTACTTCACTCAGCATAATACCCTTCAGTTCCATCCACGTCGAAGCAAATGGTGGGTATTTGTTGTTTCTAATGGCTGAGTAATACAGTTCCTTTACATCTTTAATTGATTAGCCAGATTGCACTGATTAAAAAAACCATACAGTACTTTTAGTTGACATTTATATAGCTATAATAAGATTTCCTTATAAAACACTGTACCAAGGTATAATTGACATACAAAAGGCTGTACATATTTTATGTGTACAACTTGATGAGTTTGGAGATAAATATACTTCCAGGAAACGATCTCCACAATCTGTGCCATGAACATATTCATTTCCTTCTGAAGTTTTCTTCCTTTCTTTTACCTATCTGTCCTCTATAGCCAAATACAAAAGTAAACCAACAAGGTAACTCCCGAATTGAAAATGCTCCCTCCCGGTAGCAACACCCTTGTCAAGAAAATTAGAAGTATGAGTAATTTAATCACCTGGCTGTTCCAATGATTACATTGTAGTTAGCATGATTAGAGTGCGCTCCATTGGATCAAATTGAATCAGTCAAGAATTCCTGGAAGTCACCACCCACTCCTTGAAGGTAACTGAATATAAATACACCCTGGTTCCTGCTCTGGGACACTTTGCTAATTGAAAGAGTTTCCATCATGCTTGATTTTCCTTGAGAATCATCATTTTAAGAGTATTAAATGCGGAAAACACTGTGTTGTAATTCCTAATATACTCAGCAGGGATATTCTCCAGAATGTGATTTATTTGCATTGGCAAATGACTTTCTGAATTGTGGGGCAATTCCTATGAAGGTATTCGTATGATTTACACAATTGCATTTCTAGAAAATCCAAATGTATATTAATGGGCAAGGATACTTTTATGTAATTACGGGTAGAATTGAATTGGTTGTAAGATCAAAATATCAAAACAGATTTTCCACCCATATTCATGACCAGGTGTCACTGCAGAGCACTGACATGCTTCCAGTGAGCCTCGCTGACCCGCTCGTCAGCCTCAGCCCTCATTCACCATGTAGGCCAATCCAACCAACTGCAGGTTTCACATCATTGAGATGGGCGGCCACACCCTTATTGAGATTGAGTGGTTTAGTGGATGGAATCACCTCGCCATTATCGTGATTAGGTTATTGGTCTCAGGATCCAATGACACTCCACCCACTGGGCATTCATGGAGGTCCCTGTTCTATTGCAATTTCAATCCTAAGGATCAGGAGAGGGGACAAAAGGAATAAAGGAGCACGGCAAAGAGTCAATTCAGAGATATGTCATCCACCCAACCCAGTGACCCAGCATCTAAAAGCTCAATCTGCAAAACTAGCCCTTGAGAAACCATAAACATTGTATCTCAGTGCCATCCTTTGACTGAAAGAAAGCATGAAGAAATTTACTCTTTGGCTCAGTTCCCCAAAAGGGTAACTCTTGTGCTTAGTCCGTGCATGGGCCTGGCCCAGATCTGTGGTTGTATCAACAGAGAAATGCCAAAGTGGGAGGTTTGATACCTCTGGAAAGAATAATCAAGAGAAAATTCATTCATGTGTTATATGAACACCCCTTACTTTACTCCAAAGTAGCACAATTAGGTAAATTAATGGATATCTTAATAATAAAAACTCCTATGTTAAGAATTATTTCATCAGTTGAATTGATAAAGCTTAAAATATGTGCCTTGAAAGCTTGAAGATTGGCCTCCAAATAGAGAAAAAGATACTCTCAAAATTAGGTTATTTCACTTTATTTATTTTCATTTGGGGATGTTTCTCCTTATTTACACTTCTTTTTTTTTTAGATTTTATTTATTTATTCATGACAGACACACACACACACACACACACACAGAGGCAGAGACAGGCAGAGGGAAAAGCAGGTTCCATGCAGGGAGCCCGATGTGGGACTTGATCCCGGGTCTCCAGGATCACACCCCCAGCTGAAGGTGGTGCTAAACCGCTGGGCCACCAGGGATGCCCCTTATTTACACTTCTAAGTCTTAGCAATAATATAATTATTCATTTATTACTTAAAGTTTTGGTGTCAGCATTAGAAAGGTAAATATAGTCAATAAGGAAAGCCATCAACAAGTCAAAATGCTATTTTTCATTAGAAAAACCTTCTTAATGTGGAGAAAAGGGAACCCTCTTACACTGTTGGTGGAATGTGAACTGGTGCAGCCACTCTGGAAAACTGTGTGGAGGTTCCTCAAAGAGTTAAAAATAGATCTGCCTTATGACCCAGAAATTGCACTGTTGGGGATTTACCCCAAAGATTCAGATGCAATGAAACGCCGGGACACCTGCACTCCGATGTTTCTAGCAGCCATGTCCACAATAGCCAAACTGTGGAAGGAGCCTCGGTGCCCATCGAAAGATGAATGGATAAAGAAGATGTGGTTTATGTATACAATGGAATATTACTCAGCCATTAGAAATGACAAATACCCACCATTTGCTTCAGCGTGGATGGAACTGGAGGGTATTATGCTGAGTGAAGTAAGTCAATCGGAGAAGGACAAACAGTGTATGTTCTCATTCATTTGGGGAATATGAATAATAGTGAAAGGGAATATAAGGGAAGGGAGAAGAAGTGTGTGGGAAATATCAGACATAACATAAAGACTCCTAACTCTGGGAAACGAACTAGGGGTGGTGGAAGGGGAGGAGGGTGGGGGGTGGGGTTGAATGGGTGATGGGCACTGAGGAGGGCACTTGACGGGATGAGCACTGGGTGTTATTCTGTATGTTGGCAAATTGAACACCAATAAAAAATAAATTTATTATAAAAAAAGAAAAAACCCTCTATAATTAATATACTACTCAAAATGAGCAAAAGGAGGGTCACCTGGGCGGCTCAGGGGGTTAAGTGTCTGACTCTTGATTTTGGCTCAAGTCATGATCTTGGGTCATGAGACTGAGCCCTGCATTGAGCTCTGTGCTGGGTGTGAAGCCTGCTTGGGATTCTCTTTCTCCTTATGCTCCTCCTCACTGCCCTACCACTTCTGCTTACCTGCTTTCTAAAAAAATGAGCAAAAGAAAATCATTTCTTAAAAAGTGATAGCCTATACCTCTAATTTTATTTTATTTTATTTTATTTTTTATGCCTCTAATTTTAATATACTTCTTTACTGTGTGATTAATGACGTCCAAGGAGCTCCCAATAATTTATGACAATGAAGAGGAATTCATGCTTACTTAATTGTTTTATTCTATTCTATTTCCAAAAGAACACCCTCAGACATTGCAAGCAGTATACTTTAAAATTAAAGTGTACACATAGGATTAAGTTTCCTAATCCACTGTTAAATCACAAAAACTCACATGAGCACATTGTAAAGATATAATTGGCTTTATTAATCAATTCATGAATCAGGCAGCATATCATCCAGAGAGTAGAGGGGAGCTCAGAGGAGTTATACAAAATGCTAGGCTTTTTATAGAAAGGACAATCAAGCAAGAGGTTTTTAGCAAAGAAAATAAGGGACTGTTTCAGGCAAAATCCCCTTCCCTGAATGGAAATGGGAGGAGGTCTTATTAGGGGAATTACCTCACCTTCCTTTGGGAGATGGAGAAGACCTATGTGACTGATTAGCCCATTGGTGCTAAGTAGAAAAGCCCAGATTGATTGCTTTCCAAGTCCACTCCTGGAGAAGTTTGAAACTGCAATTAAGGCTTGGTTTGCAGTTGTGAGGGCGAGTGACTCCACCTTGGGCCTGTGGCTTGCTTTTTAACACCACAGACCTTAAAATTGGGAAATCAACCTGAATTATCTGGGTGAGCCCAATGTAATTACAAGGTCCTTCAATGTGGAAGAGGGAGGAAGAAGAGGAGGACAGAGTGATGCCATGTGAAAGGACTCAACTTTTCATGGCTGGCTTTGAAGATGGAATAGGAGACCATCAGCTAAGAAACATGGTGGTTTCTAGAAGCTAGGAAAGGCAAGGAAATTAGCTCTCCCCTTGAGTCTCCAAAAGAAGGCTGAGAAAAAATGTGATGGCCTGAACAATGTTTCTTGGCTGAATATCCTTCACCAAATGGAGTTCCACACTCCATTATAAACTTTTCTTCGCTCATCTGCAAAATGCAGGCTGTGGCAGTAACTTCCTTGCAGACCCACGTGAGCACTGAATTACTTCTTGTGCCTAAAGTACCCAGAGCAATGTCCCCCAGTTTGGATTGTTTCCAGGACTACCAGCCGTTGTCCTCAGTTTCCCAAGGATTGCCTTGTCTTGCTCTTCTCTCTTCCCGGTGGGATGCACCTAAAAATCCTACAAACAGAAGTTTGTGGAAAGGGCGTTAAAACCATTTTTTCAAAGAAAATACAGACTAGTCCACCCCCCCCCCACAAGTTGTTCCCCGTCCAATCCCAGCCCTGACCTTCAGTAGAAGCAGACCGTGTGAAGAAAGCTCTTTCCAGTTTTCTCCTCCGCAGCCAGCAGCAGCTGACCAAGACTGTCTTCCATGTCGTCTGCCTGCTGGAGGCTCTGGCACAGGCTGTAGATGAGGAAAGCCCCGAGGGTGGCCTCCTCCAAGGTGTCCACAATGTCCACGTTGACCACATGCACAGGCTGGAAGGTCGCCTGTTCCCTGGTGCATAGGTCTTGCACCACTCGGTCATAGACCCTCTCCTCGCAGGTGAAGATGACATCAAAGGGGTCGCTGCACTCCTGGAACCTTTCTGGGTGCGGCTTGATCCTCTGGTTTCTCCCCAAGAGTTGAAGGATTCCGTTGCTGCTGTAGCATTCCCGGTTTTTCCTCCAGAGGTCCTTATACATCTGCTTGCAGGTCGTGGAGAAGTCATAGAGCACGGGGCAATTGCGTATGAGACCCGGGAGCTTCGCCTGACGCGCGACTCCAAAAGACCGGATGCAGAACCCCCTTTTCTGGAGGATATCATGGGCTTCCATGCTCCTGTTCATGTTGCTGCTGCACACCACAGCCACCCTGAGCGGGGACGGGGGCACGGTGGCGGCTGCTGGGGGCTGCAGGGCCTGCGGGGATGCTGTGGCCAGGACGCTGGCTACTTGGTTCCGCTCTCCAGACCAGCACAGTGGTGGAGGACGGGCCGCAGGCTTCTTTTTGGGCACCTTCACGGAGTCGGCAGAGACTTCCAGGACTTCCTGGTGGATTCCGTTCCAGGGGGTGGAGTGTCATTGGATCCTGAGACCAATAACCTAATCACGATAATGGCGAGGTGATTCCATCCACTAAACCATTCAATCTCAATAAGAGTGTGGTCGCCCATCGCAGTGATGTGAAACCTGCAGTTGGTTGGATTGGCCTACATGGTGATGAGGGCTGAGGCTGACAGTGAGCGGGTCAGCCAGGCTGACTGGAAGCATGTCAGTGCTCTGCAGTGACACCTGGTCATGAATATGGGTGGAAAATCTGTTTTGAGATTTTGAACTTACATCCAATTCAATTCTACCCGTAATTACATAAAAGTATCCTTGCCCATTAATATACATTTGGATTTTCTAGAAATGCAATTGTGTAAATCATACGAATACCTTCATAGGAATTGCCCCACAATTCAGAAAGTCATTTGCCAATGCAAATAAATCACATTCTGGAGAATATCCCTGCTGAGTATATTAGGAATTACAACACAGTGTTTTCCGCATTTAATAGTCTTATAATCATGATTCTCGAGGAAAATCAGGAATTGATGTCAGCTTCTGCCTGCTTTTTATTTCTTCAAGTACAGCTTGTTTGAGCATTCCCATACTGAAATGTAATATATGTAAAATTATTTAATCCTCTGGGTAGGGTCTGTGTTTTAAAAAGCCTTCCAGGTAGGGGTGCTTGGGTGGTTCAGCTGCTTAAGTGTCTGCCTTTGGCTCAATTCATGATCCTGGAGTCCTGGAATTAAACCCCACGTTGGGCTTCCTGATCAATAGGGATTCTGCTTTTGCTTTTCCCTTTGCCTCTCCTCTGGTGTATTCTCTCTCCTTCTCTCTCTTACTTTACCTCTCAAATAATTTTTAAAATCTTAAAAAAAAAGAAAAGTGTAATATTAACAGTGGCACTAAGCCGCATATGATTCATGAGTATAATCGAGCAGAGGTAGTTGAACATAGTTGAATTAGTTTACATGCTACATTTTAAAGTAGATTTCAGTCAATAACAATCCCCTTTACATGGAGTGTAGGCAGAATGGAGCACGGGTGGATCTGAGAAGACTGGAGCTTGGGGACGGTGATGGCTGTGGATAGGTGGAATACAGGACAGGTCAGAGAGGATGTTGGAGTCAAAATGATAAGACTTGAAGGGAAGAGAGAAAGGGAGGAATTTAAAATCATTGTCAAGGATCCCTGGGTGGCTCAGCGGTTTAGTGCCTGCCTTGGGCCAAGGCATGATCCTGGAGTCCCGGGATTGAGTCCCACGTTGGGCTCCCTGCATGGGGCCTGCTTCTCCCTCTGCCTGTGTCTTTGTCTCTCTCTCTCTCTCTCTGTTTCTCATGAATAAATAAATAAAGCCTTGGGGATCCTTGGGTGGCTCAGTGGTTTAGCGCCTGCCTTTGGCCCAGGGCGTGATCCTGGAGTCCTGGGATCGAGTCCCATGACGGGCTCCCGGCATGGAGCCTGCTTCTCCCTCCTCCTGTGTCTCTGCCTCTCTCTCTCTCTCTCTCTCTCTCTCTCTCTCTGTCTATCACAAATAAATAAATCTTTTAAAAAAATAAAAAAGTCTTTAAAAAAATAAAATAAAATCATTGTCAAATTGGCCATAGCAACTTCTTACTAGATATGTCTCCAGAGGTAAGGAAAACAAAAGCAAAAAGAAACTATTGGGGCTTTATCAAAATAAAAATCTGCATGGCAAAGGAAACAGTCAATAGAATGAAAAGGCAACCTACAGAATGGGAGAAGACATTTGCAAATGACATATCTAATAAAGGGTCAGTATCCAAAATATATAAGGAACTTTTTTTTTTAAAAAAAACACAAACAAAATCTTAATTTTTTCTGTACCATGCCTAATAGTAAATGCTCAAAAATTTGATAATTACAATTTTTAAAAAGATTTTTAAAATTTATTCAAGGTGTGGGAACTATCAGAAAGGGAGACATAACATAAAGACTCCTAACTCTGGGAAACGAACTAGGGGTGGTGGAAGGGGAGGAGGGTGGGGGGGTGGGGGTGAATGGGTGACGGGCACTGAGGGGGGCACTTGACGGGATGAGCACTGGGTGTTATTCTGTAGGTTGGCAAATTGAACACCAATAAAAAATAAATTTATTATAAAAAAATAAATAAAATAATGTAGAAAAGACAAAAAAAATAAAAAAGAGAGATACAGGGGGAGAGAGAGAGAGAGAGAGAGAGAGGCAGAGACATGGGCAGAGGGAGAAGCAGGCTCCATGCAGGGATCCCTACGCGGGACCTGATCCCGAGACTCCAGGATCATGCCTTGGGCTGAAGGCAGGCGCCAAACTGCTGAGCCACCCAGGGATCCCAGATAATTACAATTTTTAAAGAAAATTACAGACAACAATAGGCACATAGAAAGGATCTTTAACTTATAAATTTAAGAAGATAGGAAAAGGATTACATGAAAAATTTCATCCTCATGAAGGAGTGATAATTATGTGTGGCTTTTATGCAGTTAAAGTATATTTGTATATAACTTTGTACATTAAAGATTTCTAATTTTAACTTTTAATTGTTTTCACTGAGGACCTGTTTACAAAGAGAAAAATCAATTTGGTTTCAATTTCCTTTCTGTTTTTTTTACACTTTTTTTAAATTGGAGTTCAGTTTTTTATATAAATTTATTTTTATTTTTTATTGGTGTTCAATTTGTCAACATACAGAATAACACCCAGTGCTCATTCCGTCAAGTGCCCACCTCAGTGCCCATCACCCAGTCACCGCCACCCCCTGCCCTCCTCCCCTTCCACCACCCCTAGTTCGTTTCCCAGAGTTAGGAGTCTTCATGTTCTGTCTCCCTTTCTGATATTTCCCACTTATTTTTTCTCCTTTCCCCTTTATTGCCTTTCACTATTTTTTATATTCCCCAAATGAATGAGACCATATAATGTTTGTCCTTCTCCGATTGACTTATTTCACTCAGCATAATACCCTCCAGTTCCATCCACGTCGAGGCAAATGGTGGGTAATTGTCGTTTCTAATGGCTGAGTAATATTCCATTGTATACATAAACCACATCTTCTTTATCCATTCATCTTTCGATGGACACCGAGGCTCCTTCCACAGTTTGGCTATTGTGGACATGGCTGCTAGAAACATTGGGGTGCAGGTGTCCCGGCGTTTCATTGCATCTGAATCTTTGGGGTCAATCCCCAACAGTGCAATTGCTGGGTCGTAGGGCAGGTCTATTTTTAATTCTTTGAGGAACCTCCACACAGTTTTCCAGAGTGGCTGCACCGGTTCACATTCCCACCAACAGTGTAAGAGGGTTCCCTTTTCTCCACATCCTCTCCAACATTTGTGGTTTCCTGCCTTGTTAATGTTCCCCATTCTCACTGTTGTGAGGTGGTATCTCATTGTGGTTTTGATTTGTATTTCCCTGATGGCAAGTGATGCAGAGCATTTTCTCATGTGCATGTTGGCCACGTCTATGTCTTCCTCTGTGAGATTTCTGTTCATGTCTTTTGCCCATTTCATGATTGGATTGTTTGTTTCTTTGCTGTTGAGTTGAATAAGTTCTTTATAGATTTTGGAAACTAGCCCTTTATCTGATATGTCATTTGCAAATATCTTCTCCCATTCTGTAGGTTGTCTTTTAGGTCTTTTTTTTAGTTTATTTTTTTATTTTATTTTTTTTAATAAATTAATTTTTATTGGTGTTCAGTTTACCAACATACAGAATAACACCCAGTGCTCATCCCGTCAAGTGTCCCCCTCAGTGCCCGTCACCCATTCACCCCCACCCCCGCCCTCCTCCCCCTCCACCACCCCTAGTTCATTTCCCAGAGTTAGAAGTCTTTATGCTCTGTCTCCCTTTCTGATATTTCCCACACATTTCTTCTCCCTTCCCTTATATTCCCTTTCACTATTATTCATATTCCCCAAATGAATGAGAAAATACACTGTTTGTCCTTCTTCGATTGACTTACTTCACTCAACATAATACCCTCCAGTTCCATCCACGTTGAAGCAAATGGTGGGTATTTGTCGTTTCTAATGGCTGAGTAATATTCCATTGTATACATAAACCACATCTTCTTTATCCATTCATCTTTCGATGGGCACTGAGGCTCCTTCCACAGTTTGGCTATTGTGGACATGGCTGCTAGAAACATCGGGGTGCAGGTGTCCCGGCGTTTCATTGCATCTGAATCTTTGGGGTAAATCCCTAACAGTGCAATTGCTGGGTTGTAGTGCAGGTCTATTTTTAATTCTTTGAGGAACCTCCACACAGTTTTCCAGAGTGGCTGCACCAGTTCACATTCCCACCAATAGTGTAAGAGGGTTCCCTTTTCTCCGCATCCTCTCCAACATTTGTGGTTTCCTGCCTTGTTAATTTTCCCCATTCTCAGTGGTGTGAGGTGGTATCTCATTGTGGTTTTTTTTTTAATTTTTATTTTATTTATGATAGTCACACACGCACAGAGAGAGGCAGAGACACAGGCAGAGGGAGAAGCAGGCTCCATGCACCGGGACCCGACATGGGATTCGATCCTGGGTCTCCAGGATCGCGCCCTGGGCCAAAGGCAGGCGCCAAACGGGTGCACCACCCAGGGATCCCTCATTGTGGTTTTGATTTGTATTTCCCTGATGGCAAGTGATGCAGAACATTTTCTCATGTGCATGTTGGCCATGTCTATGTCTTCCTCTGTGAGAATCTCTTCATGTCTTTTGCCCATTTCATGATTGGATTGTTTGTTTCTTTGCTGTTGAGTTTAATAAGTTCTTTTTTTTTTATAAATTAATTTTTATTGGTGTTCAATTTACCAACATACAGAATAACACCCAGTGCTCATCCCGTCAAGTGTTCCCCTCCGTGCCCGTCACCCATTCACCCCCACCCCCCGCCCTCCTCCCCTTCCACCACCCCTAGTTCATTTCCCAGAGTTAGAAGTCTTTATGTTCTGTGTCCCTTTCTGATATCTCCCACACATTTCTTCTCCCTTCCCTTATATTCCCCTTCACTATTATTCATATTCCCCAAATGAGTGAGAACATACACTGTTTGTCCTTCTCCGATTGACTTACTTCACTCAGCATAATACCCTCCAGTTCCATCCACGCTGAAGCAAATGGTGGGTATTTGTCGTTTC